AGGAATTTTTCCATTGGTATCAGTGGGCTTCCAATTAGGTCTGCATTATTGCTTACCAGCTCAGGAGTTGAGCTGACTAAATATGCCAGGCAGGTGTTTAAAATATTACAAAAATAAAACTGTCACTTAAATTTTGCTTGTGAATGAAGCCTTCTTGTTGCCATTCCTTTTCATACAAGAATTTTCACTCTTTATAGATTGCTATGTATTACATTCTCACTCCTGGTGTGCAGCTGGTCTCTACAGTAACAGAAGGCAGAAAACTAGAGTTGTCAGTGCTCTGACAAAGTAACAGCATTGTCTTTTTATCTGTACTCCCCCTACATCCTTCCAAATGAATGCATTTTGTTTGGCCAGTTACATAGAAGGAGGAGCAACTGGTTAAGTACAAGCATGGATGGGTGGGGGTAAACTGCCAATGAGAAGATGACATTAAAAGGGAAGCTATTTCTGGATTAGTAGTATGTTTAATTTGATTTCTCCATCTCATGGGTCTTTTTACTCCTCAGAAGCGAACATCCACTGGCTCAACTGTATTGCCACTCAATCATGGAGCATCATCATTTTGATCAATGCCTTATGATCCTGAATAGTCCAGTGAGTGCCACATTTTTGTCTATGCTGAAGGAAACTATTCCCTATTTTACTTTTTATTTTTAGCTTTTGGATAAATTCCCACCCTTATACATTCCTAAATGATCTTTATTCCTTTTTGGGTAAAGAAAGCAAATGCAGCAGTTTTGAAATCACAGTTCCATTGCTGAGGGCCACCAAACCTTTCCAAGTGTTGCCCGATAAGGGAAGCCTTGCTAATATCCTTTTTAGTACCTGTTGCCTTGGACTGAAGGAAACAAAAGGCTTTGTTGCCATTTTCATGACCTCTTATGAACCACCAAACAAATGCAAATCCTTGCTCTTATTTCAAAAAACATTCCTGCCTACACATACACAAAGCAGTGCTGATGAGACCAAACCAAACACTGCTAATGTTGACATTCCAAAGTGAAGCCAAACTTAAGTAAATACACAAATAAAACTACATTCTTCTTGTTTTATGTTATTAACTAAGACCAGTTATTCAGCATGCACAGTCATTTCAAAGCAGTGCATTTCCACTGTTCATTTAGTGTCACAGATATGGTAGTTCTGGCATCCTTTGTGCTGTAATGATTCTTTCCTATTCAGACAGGAAAATATGAAAAAACTTAGAGGCAAGTTGCCATTTCACCAGTTCCATAGTACTTTGGTTTAACATTGGGCTGCTGAGATTATATTTCTATGTAATAGCTTGTTATTTATGTTGTGTATAAAAGGAACATATTTTCATTTACATGAGGTGTATAGACAGGTACTGAAATCTATTACAGTTCCTCTGCTTTGGGGAGGTGGGGAGGAGGAAAGAGAAATGCTACGATAGGGGTGGTGGCATGTTTAATTGTGATGAATGAAATGGATTTAAAGGCTTTGATGTTGCTCTGTTTGCAGTTTCATTTTGTAATAGCCAATTTTGATGCTGTTGCTGTGTGGCTTTCTGCTATTACTCCAGAAGACTGGGATTTTTATTTTTAAATTGAGGGATCTGCATAAGGAAGCAGGGTATAAGAATGACAACAGATACCAGCAAGCATCTTGTATTGATTTAGTATTTAAGACACATTTTAGCAAACTGGTGTGCTCTTGCCCATTTTACTGATAACACTGGTTTTGGTTTTTTGTAAAGGGAAATCAGATTCTCAGCAGCCTTTCCATTGAAGAATACAAGGCCACGCTGAAAATGATAAAACAAGCCATTCTTGCCACAGACCTAGCACTATATATAAAGTAAGTCAGAAGCACATTTGCCAGATAGTCATTGCTGGATGTTTGGATTGTGTCAGCATGCTGCAAAATCTTTTGCTTTTACTTCTTTTAAAGGAGGAGAGGAGAATTTTTTGAACTTCTAAGGAAGAAGCAATTTAATTTGGAAGATCCTACACAGAAGGAGCTATTTTTGTAAGTAAAAGCAGAATGATTAAGAAATTAATATTATTAGGTACCAAATTTTCCAGGCCACGTTGCTGTGAATTTCATTAAAAGCAGCAGATCCATGTGCCCCGGGCACGTACAAACTGGCACTGGTCACTGAATGCCTCCCTGGCTCTGAATTACTAAGTCTACAACCTGTATCATAAAATTTATTAAGCAGCCCATGGAGTTACATGAGCATTTCTGTTCTCCCTAAAGAGCGTAGCATTCCTGTCTAGGTACCATGTTCTTTTGCTGTTGATACTTTATACTTAAATATTGAATTGCTGATACCAATAACTAAAGATTCAAGACGAGGAGTTTGTTTTGAAGCTGATTCCTTGCTGGCAGTGAAGAAAAAAGATTAAGAATAGAGACACATATTGTACTGCACAGCTACAGAAAAGCAGGCTGACATAGGCTGTCTCAGAAAGGAAGGATGCTGTATTTCAAATTCAGTGCCTTTAAAAACCAGTCTAATTTAGTCATATTCTGTGTCTATTCCTATTTCAGTCCTTGGCCCTCATGCTGTCAATAACGATGACAAAGCAGTCACTGCTAATGTCAGAAATAAATAAATGTGCTGTCTGTCCAGTAGCAAATAGAATGAACCAGTTCATTTGATGTGAACACACCAAAGGAGCCAGTCCAGATTTGCTCATTTCTGTGTGCTCATTTCACACAGGTGAAAGTCTTACCACATCATCGAGCCTTGGATACCTTTACAACTTTGCTTTAATTTCACTTGTTTCTCTGACTTTGATGTTCCTTGAAGTTTTATCTCCTATCTTACAAGTCACTTGCTGGCTATATACACTTCACAATCCAGTCATTCATAGATTTCTTTCTGTTTTTTTCTACAGAGCAATGCTGATGACTGCTTGTGATTTATCAGCCATAACCAAACCATGGCCAGTTCAGCAACGGGTATATGCTTAAGTTTAAGATTTACTAAATATAAACACTATGTAACAGCTTCTGCTTCCTCCATCCAGTCCTTATTGCAAAGGCAGTGGTGGAATGCAGAGCCTCAGGAAGCAGTCCTTCAGAGTGCTGTATGTGGACTGAAGACTTTCTCAGGTCTTTGTAGCCAGATCAGTGCATTTAGCTATGTCACTATGTTAGCAGTAATCTGAAGGTAAATCAGGAATCTTTGCTCTTTCCAACATTTCCATGTTACTACAAGGCAGTCAACTGATACAACAGACTAGTACCAGCTGACCTTTTTCTGTGTGTTGACCATTCCAACTGTTAGCAGTGGTAAGACGCCTATGTGCCATTTTATTCACTTTGCTTTGTCAGAGTAAATATCAGCACATGCAGGCGTTTTCTTTGTCCACAGATTTGTGCACAAAGAATTCTAAAAGCTAGCTGTTAAGCTGGGGAGTCTCATTATGGAGGATCCCCATTCAGTACATCCTAAGGAGAGATAGGAAACAGAAGAAACAGTTTTGATGGTAGGTAGCAAGCAAACTTTCAGAGTTTTCAATGTGTGAAATCTCTTACAGATTGCTGAGCTTGTAGCTACTGAGTTCTTTGATCAAGGAGATAAAGAGCGGAAGGAACTGAACATAGAACCAACAGTAAGTGGCATGCTCATTCAGAATCACCTCTTTCAAAATGGCTTCTAAAAACAGCACTCCACATTCCTTTCAAAAGCCAAAATTTCTCCCGCTGACCAGAATATAGGACCTGGTCTCCTTCCCTGTCTTCCTAGTAGTCCGTCTTCTTCTGCAGTTCCCAAACCCAACAGTGTGTCATTATCTCTGAGCCAGAAGAACAGACATTATTTCTTCTAAATCGGTGTTACTAAATTGTCTAGAAAATACATTCTCTAAATTGGTACCTATTTGCAACCCATCTAAAACCAGTAAGCTTGTCTATTTGTCTAGCTATTTGGGCTCTATCAGTCCAAAGACAATCTCCTAAGGTTAGTCATGCAGTAAAATTACCTGCACTGTAACACATGTACTGATACCCTGCTGTGCTGAGCTTGATGTGCTTTCTAAGATGCTGCTTTTTAATTCTAGCCTCTTTGGTTTTGGTTGTTTTGTTTGTTTGTTTGTTTTTATTTAATGTATTTAAACACAGAGCTTGTTTACTTCTTATCTGCAGGATCTAATGAACAGAGAGAAGAAAAATAAAATTCCCAGCATGCAGGTTGGATTCATAGATGCTGTTTGTTTGCAGCTGTATGAGGTATGGTGCTTAGCAAAGAATTGTAAATAACTAAAACCAGAACTGCTCACTGTAGCCTCTTATAGATGCAGATTTAAAATTAGAACAAAAATCTAATAAAAATCTAGTCCCTTAGTTAAAAAAGATTTTTTTTGTTATGTATTACATGTGGTTCATTATTCAGTTGAAGAAATTATTATTTTAGTATTTATCTTTAATGGTACATTTGTCTGATTAATGTATTTTGTTATAATTTTTTAAAACCTAGTGGTAACTGTTGTGCTCTGTGCACTTGGTGTTAGATCCCTGGGTTACATTCTGGACTCCAGCAGCTCCAGTAAGATGCTATGAGCATCAGGGAAAGTCACAGAACTAATGCTTTGCTATCTAGGAGAAGAATGGTATCCATGTAGTGCATTGACAAAAAGTGTTGTTTAAAAGTTTTAAAGAATTCAGAATTCTTCATGCAAAAGATGATACACTACATATAGAAATTTAACCTGGTTTAACACTTCCCATTCCATTTGTTTTCTTCCTCTTTCATGACACACAAAAGAAGTGCATGAGAGAATTCACTGAAATGTTTTTCACCCTGGTTACAAACTGCATAAGCAGATACTTGGTCAGATATAGTGTGAAACAAAACATAATCATTTCTGATTTTTTTTTTTTTTTAAACCAGTAAAGCACTAGAGTGAAAGCCTGTGCACTGGTACTGTAGCAAATATTTTACAGGAACTGAGGGGAGAAAAAGACAGGTGAGGAACAGATAGCCTAACTCTTACAAATCTTCCAGCGAGAGGAACAAGGTGATTACTCAATTTTTTTCCCCTCTTACACAGTAAACTTTTCTAAAAATAATCCACATCCACCAGCTGGAAGGAAACAAAGATGGAGGAAGGAGAGGGAGCTACTAGCTGCTGCCCCTTAAACTCACATGTTTCTGTGGTGTAGAAACTGTTTGTCAGGAAAATAAGGCAGCCTTTGCTAGGAAGCCTCAGAAAACTGTCTCCTGTAGGAGGTAGGCCATTGAGAGAAACCTGAGTATCTGTGGAAAGGTACAGACTATACAAACAGAAAATTCTTTGAACAGTACACCTGAGCAGGTTTGAATGCCCACAGCTCCAGAGCCTGTATGTCTATATGTTTTCTTGTTAGGGGCAGGGTTTACCTTTCCATTTATGAACAGCCCAGAAAATTGTCAATTATGGGACTTTATACAGACCAAGAGTATGCCAGCACGTGCCCTAACGTGACAGATAAGTGAGTGACTTGCCTGCAGGGGCAGAGAGCACGGAAGAGGATGGGGAGCCTCTGAGGAAGTGACAAAACCTGTAACAGTACTGGCAAATCCAAGGAAGGGGCTCTAGTTTGAGCTGATCCAGTGTTTGTTTATTTTGACTGGAGTACAAGTAGGGATACCAGTCTATGATTCTATTACATTACGTGCTTACACAGACTTTTGTTTTCTTCAACGAGTAATAAATGGTAAAACGTATAAACAACTTCAATGTTACTTTGAAAATGGAAAACACAGTTTGCTCTCCAGTGTTCTAATGCTATAAAAGCAAACAATAAACAGGGTTGTAATGACAGCCTTTTCACCGTTGTTAGCTTTCATCCAGTCAGTAGGAATTTGACACACAATGCAAACACAGATGAGATCCCAATACAGCACTGCAAGTATGTGACTTACCATGTTATTCAGAGCAGTTCAGATCCCAATGACCTGAAGTTTTGTGGCTTGTGTTAGCTAGGTAACCTGTGCAGTAAAACTGGATGATTTACAAGTCTTCCCTTTAAGTTCAGAAATCTGAAAAAACAAGAGAAATTTTTTTCACTCTCCACGTTTTTTAATTGAAAAAAGTACCATTTAGCAGTTTTAAATGCTGTTTAGATATATTCAAATAAATAAAACAGGAAAATCCCAGAGACATTTCACAGCCTCATTCTTCTTATAGTGGTGTAAATCAAGCATAATTTGATTAAGTCTGCTGGAACTAATGAAGCAGCCTATAAAGCCAGAAGGAACTACAAAGATTTATACAAGCTGATAATTCACTAGGATCCCTATGTAAAGTTACAGGATGATTAAGACATTGCTACCTCCCATTATTTTAATGAGACCTGAATTCCATGTAAAAGTCTGACTGATTTTATGTTTTGTATAGTGACCAGCAGAGGGGCCAGGATTCTTCTCTTGTGTACTTTGCAGTCAGTCACAGTAGCTATAAAATCAGTGGGCTGAAACACTCCTTCCCACACCTTGCTGTCCCACGCTGCCTAACTATTAAACTCCCACTTTACACTTCTGAATAGCGTGACTTCATTCCAAAAGCCAACAGAACCATTTGTGCAAGTAAGGATAGTGAGAGGATACATCTTCATCACTTCCATCAGGAAAGAAAAACATAAAAAAATGCTTATGAGTTTTCTTTTATTTTTATTTTTTTTCCCCAGTTCTGTATTTAAATATCAGAATCCAGGTTTCCTTCACTCTGATATAGTAACACAGCCATATAATGAAAAATACTTGATTGACTTCAGTCACAGTTACTCTTAAAGGGCACTAAGCGTCAAATGTAATTTATCTATCATGTGCTAACTGTCTTGAATTCAAATATTTTGGGAGAGCCCCTCTGAATCAGTTGATACACCGTCAGTGAATATGGTCCCATTGACTATCCCTGCTCTGTGTGTGATTACCAGTCCAAGGTCATCCTTATGACAACCTTGCTTTGCATTCAAAGGACTGGCCTGCAAACGAAGTCCATGCATAGTACTTCACTAGGAACACCAGACAGGTCACTTGTGCATAATACAACAAACATCACGGTTCCTTCTGCACCTATGTATCAAGTGCTGTGTGGACACTGCCACTCAGTCTAATCTGCACTAATGCCAGGTAATTGTGTTCACGTTTGATCACAGAATGGTTTGGATTGGAAGGGACCTTAAGATCATCCAGTTCCAACCCCCCTGCCATCAGCAGGGACACCTTCCACTAGATCAGGTTGCTCAAAGCCTCATCCAGCCTGGCCTTAAACACTTCCAGGGAGGGGGCAGCCACAACTTCCTTGGGCAACCTGTTCCAGTGTCTCATCACCCTCACAGTGAAGAATATCTTCCTAATATCTAATCTAAACCTCCCCTCTTTCAGTTTAAACCCATTTCCCCTTGTCCCCTTGATGTGCAGCAGGAAGCCTTCCTTGAAGTTCAGAATACAAGTTCCATTTCAATTATAGACAGACCTTGTATTTCAGTCATTCTGGTCTCTCTCATGGTCATTTTTTAAGAACACTTCTTTTGTTGTTAAATGTAATCTGTTTTACATGTTCTTAATTTATTTCAGGCCCTAACGCATGTGTCAGAGGCCTGCTACCCTTTACTGGATGGCTGTAGAAAAAATAGGCAGAAATGGCAATCCTTAGCTGAACAACAAGAGAAGAATCTGATTAATGGAGAAAGCAGTCAAGCCAAACGGAACTGAGATGCTGGTTTAACAACCACAAACTTACGTTCACGTAGAAGACATAGTAACAGGGGAGTACTGCATTTTGCTAAACACTGTATGAATCTGGCTTATGTTTTGCCACTGCTGTGTTATTTTTCCACCTTTCAAGATATAACGTGACCATGTATATGCCAAGGTTATATAAAGATAGTATGTTTATTTAATTACATCTGATTGAGACGGGAAAAGATCTGCAAGGGTAGTTTTTGCTACCCTATTCCACAGGAAGGTAGGAGTGCAGTTACTCAGCTGTCCCCGAGAGCCTATTACTTTAGAGATGTATATAGTTGTTTAGTGATCATGTTGTGGCCAGTATCTTAAAAGACTACTGCATTTCGCACCTTTTTTCCTCTTCCAGTCTTGCTGTGTTATGTTATAAAAGTAAGGAGCAGTCTTGCCTGTTTTCTTCACAGAGGTTCAGAGGAAAGATTGGGACTAACTCTGGGGAGCCTCATCCAGCATATACTATGCTAACTTCTTTCAGGAGACAGAACTGGGCTTCAAAGAGAAAAAGCCCCAGAATCTGTGCAATCAGTAGGTTTTTTTTCATATTAGATGAATGTCTTAGCAAAAGTCTTACATTTGGAGAAATTTTTAAAACCCTGTGAATTACTAGGCAATGGGGGTCTTAGGAGTTTTGTGGTAGAAGTGTCATGATTTTCCATGAATAATGGAAACTGCTTGAAGATGGATGAAGTCTCACAACATAACTGACAGGCTGCCATGGAAGAATGGCTCCCGTAGAAAGCTGCAAGAAGCACACAGAGAAATGGAAACTAAACAGGATCTTTTTTATATGCTGGTTTTAACTTCATTTGGAAGTTAACATCATCATAACAAACAGACTGAATCACGGGCAGGAAGAGTACAAGAGAATGTGACTGCAAGAGTGAGAGATGAAAATCTGAATCAGAATGATGCAGGAAAGGCACAATTCTGGTGACTATCAATGACTGATGCTTTAGGCCAGTGCTATTATGAAACAGCTGTGACCACTTTGAAGAAAGTTTTATGTTAACATCTTTTAAAAATAATTTTTAGCATTAATGTCAACAATGATTAATCACAGTGTCTTACAGGAATAGGAAAAAAGAATACTGAAAGCAAAAATAGCCAAGAATGCTACAGGGATTTGCCATTTGTATATGAGGAATTAACATGCAGAAAAGTAAGAAATCAATTAACTTGCACTAGTAAAAAAAGCAACATTGACATGTTATTTAAATGAAGATGACTAATAAAAACTGTTTTGAATTGGAAACCAGTTCATGAAAATATACACGTTAAGACAAACCCCAAAGGAGTAATACAAAGAGAGTGCAATTCTTTGGATAGAGGGGATAAGACATTAATGGCAGCAATCCAAGACTGGTTAGCAGTAGCTGTAACTTTGGCTGCACAGAGACACAGAAATTTTTGTTGTTGGTGGTTTTTGGTTTTGTTTTGTTTTTTTTTTTTAATCTGTAGGAATAATTTTTCAGTTAAAATCAGCAATAGTATTAGGCAAAAGTATTACATTTGGCATTGTACTTTGAAGTGTGAGAGTTCATTTGTATCACAATAATCCAGAAAATTCTAGTTGGAAACTGCAATAAATTCTTCTTCCCAGGAGATTATCAATCCCCCTTTGTAAGAGCTGGTCAGAAAAACAATGAAAACAACCTCTTTTTATCAGTCTCTGCATTTAGATAAACTGTACCAGAAGCTAACACAAGATGTTTTGAAACGTTTGACGATACTGTTTCATAGTGGATTTTGTTTTTAAATGTAGAATAAGGAATTCCGATAGTCTGCAGCATTTCTGCCGACCTAAATTATTTGTCACTGATTAAATCCTATCTCAAACTTCTCTAATGACTACCAGTAATATATTATTGTGGCTGAATCTGAAAACATTTTTCTACAAAAGTATTTCTCCTGATTTTTTTTTCAGCTTTTCAAAAAAAGTATGGAATTCAACAATAATTAAGTATTCCAGGGCTACTCTTATGCAGTGCTCCATATGTGTATTTATGTGCATACACAGTACAACGTATGTATGTGGTATGTCATAGCTATACAGAAAAATGACAGCAGCCAGCCCCCCTAACATCCCCCTGCCCCCCAAAAAAAGTTTTTAGGGTACTTTTTGATAAATACCAAACTTTGCTTCAGGATTTGCATAGTCCTTGTATATGCTTTTCCTTGAACATGTGAGATACTGAAATATAATTATTATGCTGATAAGATCCATATTTAATATAAATATGAATAACATATGTATATAAAGGTGTATTCTTGCTAGTATGGTTAAGACTAGTAATTCATGGTGAAAACACAGCACATCAGCTAGGGTGATATTACAGTGTAGTGACATATCATTTACATTAAGATCCCAATATTTCTTTGCTATATTGTGTGTTCAGCAAAGCTTTATTATGACATCAGTTTAGAACTACTAAAAAGAAGTGCTAGATTCGTACCTTTGACTTGAAAAAAATGGACAAGACATGGCATTTTTTCAAAAGTTCACTTAAAATTAACAGTTAGACAGTATGTGCATATATTTAATTACATATCTGTACACATTTATCCCATAGAATCTCTTCCACTACAAAGATTAGAACATACATAGAAATACAGTTCCTAGTAAATAAACCATTTAAATGTCATACTACACCTGTAGCTGTATGTATTTCTACAAAACCAAACCCTTTGCTGGTTTAAGAAGCTTACAAGCATAGATTGCTGTACTTCATGAAATTTCAGAGCATGATCAAATTGTTTATATTGTGTTTTACTCTGCCTGAAGAGGCAAAGCCAGAGCGTGCTGGTTTTGTGTCATAGCTTTGTGTGAGCTGTTTGCAGAAATTGCTCATTCCTTTCATAACACAGATAGGTGACAATATGAAAAAAACAAACAAAAAAAGCCAGGCTATTTTCTGCCTGAAATTAATTGCCTTCAGAATTCAACATTTTCAAACCCAGCTAGTGGATTACAGCCATGCAGCTGCCGTTAATTTCATCATGAGTTACATATCTAATTATTTTAGTCGGGTCTCAAACATATTCTCCCCTAGCTTACATTGTCTAGCTAAAGCAATCAGTGTGGATTATACAAGAAATATATAAATTTCATATATTTCATATTCATGCTGAAATGGAGTTTATCACTTTGTCAGTTCAGTCTTAAGTCCATTAGAATCATTGTAAAATTTGATATTTAAGTCTTCGGGTGCAGAATTTGTCCCACTAATTTTTAATACTTGTCTCAATGAAGACATCTAAGTTAGTATCCTACTTGTTCTCAGACATGGACATATTTTCTTTTAAGGTCACTCCATAGCACAGTTTAATGCTTAAAGTACACTTTTCTTTCTGTTTTTGATCCCTTTCCAAAAAACCTACTTGGCATACGTATTAACATACACAAAATTACTGATTAACCCTAGCTCTTCTAATTAAAAATAACAGTGAGGCTCTTAGGCTGTAGGTACTTCTTTTCCAACAAGTTAGTCACATGTCCAATATTAGCTGTAGAATGTCTAAGTTTTCTATTATCTCACACAATAAAAGAAAGGAAGGAAAAATAATGTAATGTTGATTTTGGAGATGGCATTGATTTTTAATTAGCAGCAGTTTAAAGTTAAGAGCAGATTACTCTCCTGTCTTCACAGAATACAAGTACAAGAAGGCTGGTGATAAAAGTGCATAACCTATTCCACTGACTGGTCTCTCTTTAGGAGAGGACTGAAGCCTGATTTTATGCATCACCCTCTGACAATGGCATGCATGTAAAGATAAACTTTTGAACTCCAATCCAGTGGATTTTATCTGGCAGTGGCACAAACTGACAAAATCAGAACACTCTCTAATTCATATATAAGATTTTTCAAAATTACTAAGTGACTGATCTTCCAACCCATTATAGAGAAAGATTATGAAGAGTCAGCTCTAGCCCCTTAAAATTAGGGGATGTAGCCTGAGTGATGTGGTTGGTGCACCTTGCAATTATGCATGAGAAGAGAGCAGAGTGTTTTGATGGAAAAATGCCTCACTCATAATAAATTCATATATTTTTTAAAGTTTTATAGAGACCTAGTACTTCAGGCAGATTTATACATTAGCTTTAGTTAGGGGTCTTGTCTCTGTGATGATGTAGTTTCTTCTTCATGTCAAATCACATGCAGTTTACATTCCACAAGATTTCAGCTTTATTTCACAGTTCCCTGCTGTACTTTTTCAGGGACTTGCACTAATTTGAAAGATACACTTAAACATTGGAGCTTGAATAAAAAAAATTAGCTTGGCCAGAGTATGATAAATAATGAGGGCTGGATTTTTTGGTTTGGACTTTCACAGGAACAAGACAAATCACAGAATCTGGCCTGGTGATTAGTGACACTTGCTAAATACAGCAAATTGTGACAGCAAGATATTTTATCTTTGTCATTGCTAGATGAATGGAAATGGCATAGGAAAGTTTATTTTCCACATAAAGAAGTTTGTTTCCATAGAGAAACTCCTATCTAAGTACCACTGTTTGTAAATGTATATTTATATGACGATGCTATCTAATAGCTAGTTCCCACTAGCTCACAGCATGAGCTTGTCATGCCAGGGCCTGTGGCATGCTCAAATGGCCACCTGAAGTCAACTTTATGATTCCCACTTACCTCAGCCGGAATTGGATTGAGCTGTATAGAAAGGGAAAGAATGGGTCAAATCCACCAGTACCACTGTTTGTAAATGTATATTTATATGACGATGCTATCTAATAGCTAGTTCCCACTAGCTCACAGCATGAGCTTGTCATGCCAGGGCCTGTGGCATGCTCAAATGGCCACCTGAAGTCAACTTTATGATTCCCACTTACCTCAGCCGGAATTGGATTGAGCTGTATAGAAAGGGAAAGAATGGGTCAAATCCACCTTTTTTTTTAACCTATAAAGAGGGACCAAACTCTTACCCTTGGTAACACCTGCCTCACCTTTTCTTTGCTGTATTGCTGATGCCCAAGGTACCTTACAGATGTAACTGAAGTTAGAAT